TCATTCATTTTTGTAATCAAAAGTTATGTCAAGTTGCTGCCCATTTCCCCATCATTACACATTGTTTGCAAATTTTAAAGTCACTTGTTAGCTTATTCCAACTCAGTTTAAAACTCATATGTATATATGAATATAAATAAATATTTGGTTAGTTTTATCTGCCAGTCTCAACATCGAGCTACTCCTTTCTGCCATTACAAACTATAACTGTAGTTCCAATAGCATCAAGGGCCCATCAAGGAGTATAGAAATGTTGGTTGTCATCTGTTTGTCAGACATCACTTTTTTCTCTCATTTATCTTAATATCCCTGGCTTTTGTGTTGGGAGAGGAAAGGAGAAGTAGCGAGGATGCTGGAATTCTGCCAGGGATGAAGGAGGTACCTTAGGTTCTTTGGTTTGCTTTGGTCTGAAGTTGGTGACTTGTATTTTAGATGGTAACAGGTGACTTTGGACAAGCATATGATTTAGTTAGAAATTAATACTACCAGACTCTTGTACATGTTGGGGGAAAGCCTTTCTCTTACCAACTTAAGTCTAACTGGACAGCTGATGCAATTTCTAGAAGCTGGTTCTGCCTCATTTGTGCTTCACCTATAAAATTACAGAGGCAGTTGCCTTTAACCAATGTGTGAGAGAAATTGGTGTGGTTCCATAATTATTCTTGAGGGCAGCTTATCTACACTGTTGGGTAGTTTGATGTAGTGTCCTTTACTGGCTATTTCTCATTCTGTGTATCAACTCATCACTTCTTGGTGAGTGCTCTATGATAGTTGACATATACCCAGTATTGTGTTTTGTGGAATGCTTCTGAAACAATACAATGTGTGTATGGGTACACAATAAGTAATTGTTGAATGAGTGGATTGGTGGGTAGATAGGTGAAGAGGTTGTAAATGTAAATGGAGCTCTTAATTGGTCTAAGTAATAAAAACCTGGAGTCAGATCTATAGGAAAATGCTGAGAGATCAGAGAGAAGAAGAAGCAAGCCACCGCTACACCTTTCCCCCTTAGCATTTCAGCAGAGAAGAGAGAAATTCACTGTTTCTCCCTGCTTATATCCTGTTTCTGCCCATCTACCTCAATTCCTGTCTGTCTGTACAGACCTCCACACCTCTATGGCTAGCTAGTGGCAAGCTCCGTTCTCTGACTTCAGAGAGGCTTTATTTATACAAGAAAGATATCACCACATATACCCCTTTTTTGTCTAAACTTTAAAAAGGTTATAACTAATATAAGAAAAATATATATACAATAAGTACATTAACTATATAAAATATATACAGGCAATAAGTAAATTAACAATGTCTAGTCCATTAGCATATGACAAATTCAGAGAAAATACGCCATTATCTATTCTTTCTTGATGAGTCCAAAGTCTTGTACCTAATTTACTTTCTATTCTAATTTGCATTATCAAAATATCTTTTAATGTTTTTTAAGCCTATAACACTTAACATACGTTACTTAGTTTCTTTACTGAATTTGGTGAATAAGGAAGACTATAATTATACTATCTAGTCTTCACTTCCCTCAGAGACCTGAGAAAGAAATAATATTAACTGAGTATACATGAAGTGTGACCAAGAGACTTCCAAACAGTGTGAGAAATGACAGAAACAGCTGGCTGCCTGGACAGTCACCCAAGATTGCTCTGCAATATTTCGGAATCCATCTTCAGCCTATAGGCTTAGCATATGTGACAGACATTTCTGTGATCCAAGATATTCTAAAGGATTGGTCTGCCTTATCTTGGCAAGGTTTGCCATTACACTTTTTGGTGTCCTGTTTGTCCAATTTGGACAGCATACTGTCAGCAGTTAAGGCAAGGGCACTTTACCTTTGCCACAAGAAAGTAAACCCATGTGGAGTTTCTTAGGTGCCTATCATCTTCTCTGACATAGATTGGTGCTGCCAGGAACACACATGTCTCATTTTCACAAAACTATGTTCTTAAAAAAATGTTAAATGCCATAGACTGTAGATCTCTGAATTTCTTGAAGGTGACCTCTTTTTCTAAAATATCAGTTTGACCTTGTAAATATACCAAAAGTGACTACAAGTTTGATTCTAATAGTTGACTAATTACCAAATTATATTTCCTTATTGTCCTACATAGTTGATAATAATAACTTTCAAGGAATAGAGATTTGTATTACATTGTTAAATGACCTGCATAAGTACAATATCATGAACAATATTAGATCTGTATTACAGCATGTTTTAGCAAATTAATCTCAGATTTGTATCAATATACAGAAGTCCAATCCAATGTAAATATTTAAAACTAGTAGTTGTTTTTGAGTAGATTCAATAATCTACTCTTTCATCTTATCATATCTATATCTCCCATTTATTCTTTTCAGAGTAGATTCAATAATCTACCCTTTTTATCCTATCATATCTGGATTCCTCTTTTTTTCCCAACAAAAACCTTGAATATAATCCACTTTGTTCAACTTTCTTCCTGTCATAAGCAACAACATTTTGTAACCAGTCCCCCTAAACATAACCCAATGAGTGACCAAAAACCACCCACCCACCACTTGGGAATCTGGGCATAGTCTTCTTAAAGTTACTTCTTGCTGTCTGGGGGGCAATGGCATCTCTAGGGAATCCTGAAAAAAATTTGTGTTAATTGTAAGCTGTATTATTTGTTGTCCAGTCTCTGCAAAATGGGTAAATACCAGGCTTGTTTCAAGTCCTGGCTAAAATGCTTTGTGATGTTGGGTCACCTCAGCAACCCACCTCGAAATTTTTCCAAGCAGTGTCTATGAGGCTGGATCATCTCATCAAGTACCTCAAAATTGACAAAAGCAGTTTATAGTACAAGCTGATTTTTATACTTGGTGAGATCAGAGAGAAGGAGCAAGCCACACCTTACCTTCTTAGCATCTCAGCAGACAAGAGAGCAAGTTCCTGTTTCTCCCTGGTTATATCCTGTTTCTATCCAGCTACCTCACTTCCTGTCTATCTGAAAAGACCCCAGAACTCTGTGGTTAGCTAGTGGTAAGCTCCATTCTCTGACCCTCAGACAGGATTTATTTGTACAAGCAAGATATCACCACAGATGTACATTGGACTTCAGTGTGGGTTTCTGTGTAATCTATTACACTGTTGATAACAAAATAAAAGACTTTTGTGCTCATTCTGTTTGGGCTGCTTGGCTCATAAAAATCATGTAAGACCAAATAAAGATGTATTTGTATTCATATATACATATTAATATATTTGTGTTCTTATTTATACACATGTATATATACACATATGTATGTATACACACACTTTTATTCTCTTTATTAGTTGATTATTAAAAGCTAAGATTTTCTTTAGTCTTATTGCCCAATTCTTGATGCTTTTATGAATAAATATCTTAGGTACAATTTTATACTTACTTCATTATTTTGGTATTTAAGTATTAAAATGTGCTATGCAAACTCTGAAATGAAGTTCTGCATGATCCTTATAGCATTTAGGTGAGGCTGGCAATTACAAATCTAAACAATCACCTTTTAGAGTTGTATTCGGATGTGAGAAATGGGCTGTAAGAGAAATCAGGTGGTGAGACTTAGAACACATAAAGTAGTGATAACAGAGGAAGCTGTGGGCAGTCAGGGTGGTGTCAGTGAGTTATGTGTGAGGAATATACTTAGACATTTATTAATCAGTATTAATTCTGTGTTCCTAGGCAAGTTCACAGGGGTTTGTAGGAGCTGACTGCAGCAACTGAAATAGAGGTCATTTGTTTTACATTTAACTGGCTGTGAGAAGGGTCAACTAAGCTATTCTTTTTTTTTTTTTTTCAACTAAGCCATTCTTACAATGCTCTGAGATCAGGAGTAGGACAGACTAAGTGAGAAATGTAAACTGCCCAGAGTCAGGAATATCAGGGTTGGATAATGTTTTGCATCCTCAGTTGGCTCAGTGTATGGTTTGTGAATGACATCACAGGCATGAAAAGCATGAACAGTTTGCCTAGCTTGCTACTATGATTAGTATTACTCTAAATGGAGACTGCATTGAGCTAGTAAATAGATCATCAACAAAAGCATTTTTAAAATCACAAGATTCTAAGTAATATTGGTGCTTTATGTAGGTTATCAGTGTATAGATACACAATAAGTGTACCTAAGAATATGTACCAACTTTGTTTAAGATAATAGCTCTATAATGGGACAGTGATGTTTGTTCTTCATTACAACTTGAGAAATTGCCCCCTGATGGCTAAATGATGGACAAGGGTGGAGCTTACTGTAGACAGGTGGTTCTGGGCTGTGCAGGTGGGCAGGTTGAATGAAAGCAGGAAGTGAACCTTCACTTCCTGCTTCCAGGTTGCAGCCTTGGGTTCTTGTTCCAATTTCCCTCAGTGAATGACTGTAACATTCAAGCCAAATAAAGCCTTTCCTTCCCAATTTGCTTTAGGTCAGTGTTTTGCCACAGAAGCAGGAAGCAAACTTGGACAGGGATGTTGAAAATTATTTGTGTTTAAACGAGCATCATATTACATATGAAATTAAATTAAATTAACAGAAAGAAAATACTGCTCAGAAATGATTTCCAGGAAAGCCTAAATTTCTTTCATGAATTGGCTTGCTTTTGCTTCATGGGCATTGAGAATTCTGACATTCTGTTTCTTTCTAAATTTTGGTTCTCAGAGTTCAGAACTTAATATGCAACTCAATTATCTTAATCATGCGGGGATTTAACAACTTGCCTATCTCTAAACTGTTCTTGATCTTCAAAATCTATTCCTGTTTTCTTTCTTTTTGGCCCCAGATATTATAAACTATGTTTCCCTCAAGTGACACATGGTAATTGTACATTGTCATGGAGCCTGAACTTTTCAAAACATTGCCTGTATTTTCACCTTTTACTTTCTATATACATTTCTCTAAGCCAATACAAATTTTTTGTGGAAAATGGATGAATAAATACCCCATGCTTCATACAGAAAACCTGCTCACTTCTTCTGGTGTAACTGTTCCTTTCTCTTTTTGTGAAGGCCAAATGTTTGCAAAGAGGAGCAGCTGACAGTGGTAGGGCTGTCACGCCCATGCACCCAAGCTTTCATAGAGACCGTCAAGTTCTGGAAGCAAGGTTGTACAGGCCTACGGTGGTGCGTGGCTTATGAGAGAAGGTAAGGTGATGTGATAAATCCTGTAACTATTAAAACTCAAAAGTAGAAGCTTCCTGTATTCCAAAATACTTTATCCAGTGAACTGTAGCAAATGGTTGGATAATTAAGTAAAGGGGCAAAGGTACGCTTACCAAGAACATTCACAATTACATAGTTTCTTTCAGCAATGGGATGGACACTTACTTTATGTTAGACCTCACTTATGTGTGAACTATTTTGGGTTATAGACACTAATTTTTATCTCAGGAGATGATATACCATTGAAAGCTAAAGATCAGAAACACAACAGAAACATGGGATATTGTGTTGGTTTGCTAAATTTAGCTCAACTTGTTCCAGGATTTCTACAGCTGTGAACCAACATCTGACCTGCCCTTGTCACTCTCAAGCACTTTGAAACCCACAGACTCTTTAACTTTATTATGGCCTTTGAATTAGGATCAACCCAGCAGGCTGCAAGACAAGAGAAAGCAAGGGTTCACAGTGCTTTGTAAGAGTCCAGGCTTCGTGTAGACTTCATTTTTTTTTCAGTTTTAAAATAGTTTCACAAAACATCTAAGAGCCTCTTGATGCAAATGATTGCTAATGGGTTGTATTTTATGAAAATGTATCAAATGGATCTAAATTTAGGATAATTCATAATAATAAAGTGTGGTTTTAGGTTAATGAATTCATTAATACTACTATCAGCAGTGAAAAGTTAGGGTGTTTCTAAGTAACTAAGCCTGCCATTGTACAGTCATGGTAACAGTTATAATTCAAGACCAACTCATTTGTAACTATAAATATTGTTACCTAGTGTATACACATATATGTGTGTATATATGCATATGCATGTGTGTTTATCCTTTAGATGAGTTCTCTTTTGGGGGGTTCTGTTTCAAATTGAGAGTATTTGAATGACAGTGAAGTCAGAAAAAACATTCCCTAATTATTAGTTGCTTTGTGGCCTTAAGTTAAATTCAACATTTCTCTGTGCTTTAGTGTTTAAAGTTGCAAAATAATGGCATATATGTATAGCACAAGGAGTGCTGAAAACATAGTTTACACATAAAGCATAATGCTTGATATTTCCCAGTGTACTCAATATGTGTGAATTTATCACAGAAAATTAGACAGGATGCATGCTTCTAATATATATGATTTATTGGTTAGAGGAATGTGTATGTGTGTGTGTACACATGATTATAATATATATATATATATGTATATGTATATATATATATGATTTATTTATTAGAGGAGTGTGTGTGTGTGTGTGTGTGTGTGTGTGTGTGCATGTGTGGCCATGCCAGCACCTGCCCATGTGCATGCACATGCCATGACATGCATGTGGTGGTCAGAGAATAGCCACGGGTGTTGGTTCTCTGCATGCTGTTTGAGGCAAGGTCTCCCTTGTTCACTACTAACTTAGCTGGCCAGTGACGCTCCAGGAATTCCCCTGTTTATGCCTCCTATCTACTCCCTAAGACTACTGTGGTTATAGACACCTGTACTACTGAATCCAGTCTTCATGTGTATTCTAGGGATGGAACTAGGGTTACTGGCTTGGTGGGGAAGTCCTTTACCAACTAAGCCATTTCTATAGCCCTAGAAATTGGTTTTGAAAATGGTTTTTCATTTTAATCCTCTTTACTATCCCAATGTGGTTAGATTGTTGTAAACAGTGATCTGAACCAAAGAAAATCCTCAGCCATGTAGATGCTTAGAACTGGGAGAAACAAACATGGCTATGTATCACAAGGTTCGCATGTTTATACTCAAGAGCTTGCTAGTATAACAACTCTGTCTGTGGCACTGATATAAAGGGGCAGCAGTGTATGAAAATAATTGATGTCTTGCCAAGCATACACTTTTTTGTTTGTATATACATCTAGTCGTATCCTAATTGAAAGATACACACAAAAATACTAGGCTATATTTCAAGATTTTGAATAATTAAATGCCATAAACAATGCTGAAGCCAATAAAGTCTGTTTATATCAATGAAGAGAGCTGACACAGAGGAGAGAATTTGGAGGAAGTGGAAATAGAAATTGTCATTGAATAACGAGGGATTTAGGCTAGGACATGGGGCAAGGTATATGATGGGGAAAGAATGAGCTAAAAGGTCGGGGATAAAGCATATACAGAACTTTGATTTGATAGAGAGGAAACTAGCATGCTTTGAGATGTTTGGTACCACAGTCAGCTGACAGGTCAACACTGTGGTAGGCTCTGCTCCTTCCTAACTGAGAGGCCTTTGACATCCTCCCCTACTGTAATTGCTTCATCCCAAGGGAATTTTTCACACTGCATTTATACTTTAAATAGAGATTTCATTCTTATTTTTAATTGTGTGTGTGTCTGTCTGTCTGTGCTTGTACATGAGCATGCTGTGTCTGCAGAGCTGGAAGAGAGTATCAGATTCCTTGGAGCTGGAGTTACAGGCAGTTGTAAGCTGCTGCATATCCTATACAAGAGCTCCAAGCTGTCTTTCCAGCCCGTATATATATCTTCCTAGACTCAGACCTAAAACACATGTTGATTGCATGTCTGATGCAGTAGTTATGTACTATATACAAAGTATATAACTATAGCTATCCATCCCCTCTTGTATATACTCCCTAGTGTGTGGCAGGATTTGAAATGGAGGGAGAGATTTTTATAACCATGAAATGATAAATTTGTCATCAAAGGCATGATACTTTTCCTGATTCCTATCCTGTGTTCTATAGGACCCGCTACTACACTATCTACAGGCAGGTGTATGTCACAGAACACCAAACAGTCTTCAGGTGTTGCCCTGGTTGGAGCCGATGGAATGATGAACCAGGCTGCCTCTCCTGTAAGTTGTAATTCTTCCTGGCAAGTTTTGTTAGTAGGGAACGCTTTTGCTTCCACCACACGATACCTATCTCATTTCAGCACCTTAAGAAGCACCACAGATTCAGAGCATTGCTTGAATCTGGTGGTTCTCAACCTTCCTAATGCTGTAGCCCTTTAATATAGTTTTTCATGTGATGGTGACTCCCAACCATAAAATTACCTTCGTTACTACTTCATAACTGTAATTTTACTACTGTTATGAATTGGATTGTAAATATCTATGTTTTCTGGTAGTCTTAGTTGACCCCAGTGACCCCACAGGTAGTGAATTACTGCTCTAGACTACACTAATGACTCATAGTGACATGTGGGGAAATGCATTATGAAAAGCCTGTTAAGCATTTTAATGATGGGTTGGAGCTCAGGATCCGTGAAAGCCGCTGTATATTCTGTCTGTTGTGTAGAGGACAGCTGATTTAAAGGCAGAAGGGCTTCCCTTGATGTCCATCCCACCCCTCTGTTTGCCCCTTCCCATATCATCATATCTGTAATCCACAGTTGATTCAAAAGTCCAGAGGGAAATCACTGTATTAAATCTGGATGGGATTTCCACAACGTGGGCTTGCCATGATTAATTGCAGAGCTCTGGAGGCAGCTTACTTGTTAAGACGAGGTTTGCACACTGTTTACAAACCTCTGGTGGCGGGATTTCAGAAGCTTCAGAGTCTGGTGTTTGACAGCACTCAGGCAGCAGAACTAGTGGCATTACACAGCTCACCAGGCTGTGAGAAATGGCTCTGTGTAGTGAGCCCGTTATCTGCATTATGTGCCTAGGGTGATTGGGAAATCCCTAGATTGCTTCTGTGAGTCTAATCAATGAAGCTCCAGAGCACTGTTCATCTCTTCTGCCTCTGTGCTCCATAGGGTGCTTGCCAGCATCCTCCCTCCTTTCCCTGTGAGCTTTCTGCTCTTGAGATATACCAGAGAAGCTTTGTTGTATGCTTCCTGTATTAAGCAGGTATGGGATCCAGTGTTGTGGCAAGTGTGTTTACACTCAGGTCACTATGGCTAGTTGGTTTAAGATCATTGAAAAGATCTGCCCACAATGCTATCAGAACTGTGTTATAAAGTCCAGGAAACTGACAGCTCTGAGATAAGTATTTATATTTGTTGTTTAACAACTACCCAAATTCTTTGCCTCTCGTTAAATATTAGCATTTTGTTTGATTTTTTTGTTGTTGTTTTGAAGATCATTTTGACTATACAGTCATCTTATCCATGTAATTTCTTTATACCAATGTTTCTTCCCTCTCAATGTGAATACAAGTAATCTGGTGTGTTGTTAAATAAAGGGTAGATTTGTATTAAGTAGGCCTAGAGGAAGCTCAAAATGTGTGTTTCTTCAAAGTTTACAGGAATATTCTTACAGATAATTCTGCAAGGCTTCACACAGTCAGCCATTGTCTATAAGCTTCCCGTGGAGATGCCAGTCGAAATTTCTAGATCATGTTATAGTAACTGCAAGATGCCTACTTACACTGATGATTTCCTTCCTTTGAATACTCCTTTTAGCTGTGTCTTCTCTGGGAACCCATTTCAGTGGAAGACTGTGCTCAGATGGGGCTGATCTTCAGTGCCTCTGCTCACAAGGGTTCCATGGACCCCACTGTCAATATGGTGAGTCACCAATAGAACAATTCTGTTGCAATTTGGCACGGTCTACCAGTTGTGTCCTCATAGAGTCATGGCAGATTACCTCTCTGGGAATTGGTGAACACTGAAAATGAATCACTAAGCAGATAAGCAGAACCACAGTATAATAAGCATCTTAAAATACATTTTGTGGTTTAGTTGTAAATCTTCACAGTAGGAGTTCAAAGGGTCATTCTAAGAACAAGGTACTCTCTTTTGTAAAGAAGGGGTCAGATGTTAAGTTTGTCATGAAGCATGGCTTGAAATTACTGCTATGGTGTGGTATTCTGTGAGATCTTAGGGCTCCATAAATAAGCAAAATATAGTCAGCATGAACTTGATGTCATGCAGTATTGACTAATCTTATACCTGTTATCATAAAAAGAATCAGAAAAAACTGGAAGTCGTAAGGCTTGAGTGATTCTCTATGCTTCAACACTCATTGAACACGTACCTTTAAGACTTTCTTGTGTGAGAAGTTTTCTGAGTGACCAATTGTTTATCCCTAACTGCAGAATGCAGTCCCACTTAAAGCAGTTGGTATTTGTACCTTCTTGTGTCTACTGCTTGGATTTTTCAAAATGAAACCATGAAGTTTCTGGGGTCCCAGCTTACATGTGTGTGTGTTTTTTTTCTCTTCCACACTTGGGATTAAGGACAGTGCTCCCATCTTCAGAGAAGTTCTTGTGAATTAATTTCCAAACTCTTTTTTGAGTTGCCTCTTAAAAAGTGTGTGAATTAAAATAAGGCTGGTGTTCAATGATCTTACACATGGACTACAGCACTGATGTGGAGACAGGGACCACTGCAGTTTGAGCTCTAGGATGCCGGTTTAATATTTCCCAATGTTTTAGAAAAACAACAACAACAAAATCACACATGGATCCATGATAACAAATTGTTTGACTTTAAACAAAATGTAAAAGTTGTTTACTAAATTGGTACTAAAGGTTTTCTTATTTTGGCCTATAAGTGTTGTGGGTAATTATAGATGTTATTGGTTCATCAAGAGATTTTCTTTAAAAATCATAATACTATGATCTTATAAATGCATTGTTTTGTGGAGCAAATCTTGCAAGACATCAGGTCCCAGAGGAAAAAGGTAGTAAAAGAGACATATGGTAATGATAATGGCCCAGTTATACCTGGATTAATTTATTCTTTATCTTTTATACCAGTGCTTGAATATTTTGATTATTCCATCTTAAAAACTGCCATATCACAAAGTAGTTAATGTGTTCTCTGAAATTCAAATAATCAAATTTTTCATTTGTGTAGTTTTGGTTTGGTGAAAATCCAGAATAATTTCAAACATAGGAAGAAAGGTTACCTTTTGCACAAACTTGTCTGTACACCATGAAGTCTCCAGAGGAGCAGGATAACACCAAAATACAAAATACCTGTCAGGAGTGCCTGCTCCACCTGCCAGCACTGCTATCCAGGCATGCTTCCTTTAGACCCTAACACTGTTTCTTCTCCTGCTACAGGACTCTTGTTGCCTAAAAGCTTTGTTCCCAAAGGGTAGATGTTGAGACTTCTCCATGGGATTATATTTCCCCCATCAAAATGTGGCACCCCAACTATAGAAACTAAGGTGATTTTAATGGAAAAATTTTGTAAACTTTCTAAGAAATCAAGCAGTTGAAAAACAAGTGGAGAAACCACTGGAGAAGAAATTGCACAAGCCAAATTTTAAAAGATGAAAAATTCAATTGACAAATGCTGTTTGTAAAGTGTAGCTCACAGGACAAAGCTTACTAAGCAGGCTGATTATAGCCTGGCTAGGCAGCCCCAAACCTAATGCTTCTCTAGGGGCTGGAGTTCTTATGTGTGGTATCTGCCCCCATGTATATGCATATATATCACAGTAAAATAATTATAATATTATGTTTGAAATTATATATAAAAATCACTCAAATGTTAGAAAATTAAAAATTCCAATTATTAAAAACCCCTGTCTATGTGATTGAGCAAACTAAAACTATATAGAACTTCTGCTGCCTGTAGATAACCAAGATGGGCATCCCCATACATATTTATGTTCACTCGGCTTTGAAAATGTGGATACACGAGATCAATTTACACACAGGCTTTTAATGAAGGCCCTTCTGTTTTTTTCCATCTATTTTCTTCCTTCCTATTTAATGTGTTCTCCATTCATTGCCTGCTGTTGAAACCTTTTTATGTCTTTCTCTGAGCCTACTGGATCATATACAGGCAGCTATACAGTAGTCTATCACATCAGTGTATCACATGTTTTTTAACTAACTATTGAGTGTTAAACACTTGTTCCAAATTTTGTTCTAATTTTTCACACAATAATAAGGCTCATGATAATATTGTGCTTTACATTTTGTGAAGAATGTACCAGCTGTGGGGTTGTTGGAGTCAATGAGTACATTCAGTTAAAATTTTTGTATACTTAAGGATCAGTGTGTGTGTGTGTGTGTGTGTGTGTGTGTGTGTGTGTGTGTGGTGTGTATGCTGTGTTTGGTTGTTAATTAAAATTGAGGTAAATCTTCTCTTTATTTATTTTTGATGTTTACTTTTAAGAGAATCTTCGCATCTTCATTCAGAACCAAAGATGTGAGGCCTATGTGAAATCGTCAGGTTCACTGTAAAATGTAGCCTGGAGTAAAGTCAGTGTTACCAATGTGTATGGGGAGAGAAACTCTGAAAATAAGCCAGTTGGCCTTTTGAAAATGGAGAAAAGACTGCAGTCCTAGCGAGAGTGGAAACATGCTAATAAGCGAGAGCAACACTTGAAATTAATAACGATTCTAAAATTGCTGATCTACTTAATTCATTTGAAAAAAATCTGGCTCTCATAAAGCGAATGAAGGAAATGAATTTGGACAATTAGGAAGTAATGAAGAGCTTTCTGAAATAACTATTGATTAAAGAAATCAAAAGGAATACTTTGAAGATTTGAACACATTCGAATCAAACTAGATAGCTGGTAGTGAAGTTTTCTCTTTTTTGATATTTTATGGCTTCAGAGAGACCTGGGAGTTACATGCACTGATTAATTTCACAAACAAAGTCACACCTCATTTCTACATCTCTAGTGTCTCTTCCTTTTTCTCTAGGTCAACAGTCAAGCAAAATGATAGTGTGACTAATGGCAGGCTTCTATGTTTCTTAATTTTCTATACATAAATTTGTTTATTCACTCTGTCAGTCAATCAACCTTCTATCAAGTCTCCCACTTTGTAAATATTTATATAACAGACTGTGCACCAGATATTTCAGATGTTAAAAAAAATAGTTTAGTCTTAATCTGGTGGGAACTAGAGACCAGAAAGCCTATGATTATTATGCAACTCACCATTGCCATGACTGAAGATGGTTCTATCCTAAGAGAAAGAGGAGGGTGTTTGTCTATGACATACCAGGAGGGGAGGAAAAATTTCTCAAAAAATGTTTGTACTTACTTATAGAAAGTGCATTACTTTTTATAGCCAAAGTGGCTAAATCATACCATTAACCTATAGCCAAACCCGGTGTTTTTGAACTTCCCATACAGAGGGATAACTGATGGAATTCTTCATAATTCTATTGCCAAATTCAGTTTCTGAACGATACAGTTCCGTGGTTGAGGATTTATCTATTTATTTATTCATGTATTTATTTGTCCCTCCCCCACCCATGCATGTGTGTATGTTAATGCACACGCATGTGCACATATGGAGGCCAGAAGAGGGCATCCGGACATCTTTCTTTGTCTTTCCCCTTTTATTCCTTTGAGGAAGGATCTCTCCCTGGGCTTAGTGCTCCCTTTTTCTCAGCTAGACCTGAAGCCAGCAAGTTCCAGCATTGTCCAAGTCTCCACCCCTTTCAGAACTGGGTTTATAGCTTGTATGGGAGGCCTGGATTGTTCCTTGGATGCTGAGATCTGAATTCCCATCCTCAGAATTGTGCAGTAACTGCTAATTACGCTTTTCAGCCCAAGATGGGGTGTCTTGGACATGAGAATCGCTTGTTTCTCCATTTCTGGTACTTATGGAAGTATCCACAAAGGTCTTCATCACCTTTAACTGTGGTGTTTAGATACATTAAAAGTCAGAAGTTTATGGAATGATGTCTGGGAAGTTCTCAGGCAATTTGAGGCTGAGACTGGGCCTCACTGTTGACTCTCTATGCTATCATGGAGAAGGTGCTTATATTTCCAATCTCAGCATTATCATTTTCAAAAAGACATAAAAACTCCAGCTTTCCCAATGTCCAACAGTGTTCCCATAGTATTCTCAGAGTTTTATATACATCAAGTGGCCAATGATCTAAAGGCTATGGAATGAATATGCTTACCTCACCTTTCTGTACTACAGAGTCATAGAGACTGGTCGAAGAGCAAAGGCAAGGATGTTGGACAAATGAGATCCATACATTCTATGTTCTGGTCTCAGAGCCTCTTATCATAACCTGAGAGCTGGGATGCTCTTCTGCCAGTGTTCAGTGTGGCTGTGTGGTGTATGTCAGGTTGTTATTTGTGAGAGGCCTATTTGTGGGATGACACACTTGTGATTTATATTCTGAAAAGCATAGTCCAATCTGTCCTACTTCTTATTTGCTGTAGGTGCTCTGAGGATTGTACAGGGGGATCTCTCATCAGAGGGGGAAGGGCTCCAGCTGTTTTGTTTTACAGTCTGGGGAATCTGAAGAGCCAACCTCTGAGGAGGCTGAGTCACAGAAATAGCTGACCATGAAGCAGATTACAGCCAAGGAACTGCATTGACTGTGTATAACACTGATGGGTAGAAAGCTGGGTCAAAGGGTTTTCTTAAGTTGAAATTTTCTTAAGAGCATTTTTTATTTGAACAATGCTATAGTTTGAATTATGTCTCCTATTGCCACATTTCCTGTATTGAAGTCTGAAATTCAAGTACCTTATAATGTGATCTTATTTTGATATAGGCTTGCTACATATATAATTAAGTAAGATGAGTTTGTGATGAATCTAGTATGACTGGTAACCTTATAAAAAG